GACTGCCACATCTGACAGCTAACCAGTTGTTGCCACAGTGCGTCCAATCTACACTACAAGCACCAAGGGGGCTCTGTGCACATCATCATAAATCTATCAATTCCTTCACAGCCACTTGAGACAATATCAACAAGTCCATGACCCATCAAAACTCATTCTCAAAGCAATGCAACCCTAAACAACCCTTGACAATTTGAGTAACCGATCAATCCTCCACCCGTGAACAACTGTAGAACTAGTTCGGTGTAGTTCGTCGAAACGACACTACGAAAGTTCGGCGGATGTCAACCAACAGCTGTCTCTTAACCTTGTAATAGAATGTTTACAAAAATATTCACTCCAACCTATTTTCAACTATTTACCAATCCTTATTTATGCGATGGAATAGAAATATATAAGGTAAGTCGTCACATCTTCCCCATTCAGTACGAATATTTGAACATTCATATTGTGCAGAATATTTACCAAAAATATCAAACAGTATTCAGAAACCAGAGCTAACTAATATTGTTTTTCAGGCGATATGGCTCTAATATGTGAGTAAACCTTCTGGAAGTGATGGATAACAATCTATGTAAGAAATATTCTTGGAAAAGTATAGAGAATTAGGCAGACAACGGCTGAAAAATGATAGTGAAGTAAACTGAGAAACAAACAATAACATCTATTTCATCCTAGCCAGGAAGTTCGGATCTCCAACGTCGATTGGCAATAGGAGAATGTGTAAGTACTGGTCAAAGCAGTTAGTCAGGGAGCATACATATATTCTTGTACATTTCAGGTATAGTTTTCTATGGAACGGAAGATTCCCATTACTATGATGTTAAATAAATAAAATCAACTTGCAACTGAATAACATTGTTAATATCCTTCGAATGAAGATCTTAAAAGGTGAGGTAGTGTTTTGAAAGGTCACATAGGAGCAGTTTTGATCTAGTGCTGAATTGAAACGTAACAATTTGAAAAAACAACCCTCGATAAGCATTTAAACAATTGAGCAAAAACGATGATAGGCGATGATCATCTGTGAAAAAATCAGTATAAAGCAGGAGTTGACGAAATTTTGACTCAGTATTTATCATTTCCTAATGCTGAGCGGATAATGATAATTGATGAAGATATAGATTTAGAAAAAATGGGGTTATGCTTCAATAGTCACCGATTGCAGCAGCGGCAGCAGTTGAATCAGCGTAATTCATTTGGTGGAGGCTATGATCATGTACATTTGAAGAAGAGAAAATCTAAAAGTCTATCCATAACACGTATGTCTGCCAAACGGTCAAGATATAGGCTAACCGCTAGTAGTCCAACTTTCTCAAATCTACTGGCAGTGAATATCCTCTGCGGCATCTCCACAGGCAAATCTGTTACTTTGATACTTGGCTTTCTCTTCTCGACCGAACTTGCATTCAACTTTTGTAAATCCATCTGTGAAAAATAAAAAATGAAAGCTTTATGTTTTGATTCACAATATATGCGAATACTATCTCAAACAAACCACGACATGTAAAACATTCGACTGAAATCATCCAACATATATATATAGCAAAAAATTTTGGAAATCAAATGATTCAACAATTCTCACCAGTTTTCAATTAAATTACATTTGAATGAATTCATCTGAGGAAGAAGTCGAACCTAAAACACTTACTTTCAAATAGAATCGGTGCATTTGTCACTGGTATCACTTTCAACGGATGCGTCCAACTCATTTCGCCATGCATGACGTATTTATAGTAAAATAAGTGATGACATATTTCAAAATGAAACAGAGAGCCTTCGTTTCGTCGCTTTGAGAACTGCGTATCTCTGGATGCAGATTCGGCATTGGCAGTGATCAATGTCACCTTGGGTATGAATGTAAAAATTAGTGATGACATATTCCGAAATGAAACGAAAGAAAATCAAAGAGTCTTTGTTAGATGCCTATTCAGCTTCGACATAGATCCATGTCACCTTGGATATGAATAGCGCAACAAACACATGAATTCTGCTTTTTTTCCGCATTTTATATAAAGTACTATATGTGATGATGCGACTATTATTAGTGAAGATACAACTTTGTGCCCTCTTGGCATCGTCTCCATTTTTATTTCTCTGTCGATGAATTCTGCATTCGTTTCCCTTTCATTTGATGTACTGCACGTTGAGATCTAACTATCATTAACAGAGATGTTGCTTAGTGTCACTCTGACATACTGCGCCATCTTTGTTTTTTCTCTGTCGATGAATTTTGCATTTTTTTCCTTTTATTTGACGTGCTGTACGTGACGATTCGACAATTATTAACGAAAATGTGGCTTTGTGCCCTTCTGACATGTTGAGTCAGATTTGCTTTTTCTCTGTCGATGAATTCTGCATTCGTTTCCCTTTCATTTGATGTGCTGCACGTTGAGATTCAGCTATCATTAATGAAGATGTGGGTTAGTGCCCTTCTGACATGTTACACCATATTTGTTTTTTCGTTGTCGATGAATTCTGCAATTATTCTTCTTTTATTTAACATGATGTACGTGACGATCCGAAGTTTTTTCAATGATTCTCTTTGCAATTCTTCCTATGCACATTAGGCGCTCGATATTATGTTTTTCATAGTCTACACATTAAATAATTTGAAATGAGTACCCACATCGACCTGTTGCGACTAGTATAGCGAAAATAGGTTATGAGGTCCTTTTGGCTTCGTAAAATGAATAACTATGTTTTTTGACATCTAAACGAATCCATTGATGTTGAAATCATCGGAATCGGACAACTGCAAGTGAAAACTGAAAGTGACCTGTTTTTGATGGATTCGAAACCTTCTCACCCTAAGAAATCCAAATATACTATATGTTTCAGTATACGATGATTTTTTTCATTTTTTAATTTCAAATATGTTCAATGATTTTCTTTGAATGTGCAATTTTTTCTATGCTATTCCACATTGGACGCTGTATATTATACTTTTCATAATCTACAAATGAAATCATTTGAAATGAGTACCCACATCGGTCTGTTACTGCTAGTATAATGAAACTAGGTTATACGGTCCTTTTGACTTCGTAAATTGATTAACTATGTTTTTTGACATCTAAACGAATCCATTGATGTCAAAATCATCGGAATCGGACGACCGGAAGTGGTCGTTTTTTGATATATTCGAAACCTTCTCACCCTAAGGAACCCAAATATATCATATGTTTCAGTATACAATGATTTTTTCATTCTCTTTGTCAATAAATTCTGCGTTTGGATCAAGCTTCTGCAATTGGAATAAACTTATAGTTGTTGATAACCTAACATTTTTTCAATTCCAAGTTTTTCATTTATTTTTGTTGAATTTGCAATTCTCCCTATGCAATTTCACATTAGTAGTTGGATATTGTATTCGTTACGCCGTCTTTGTTTTTTCTCTGTCGGTACACTCTGTATTCGTTTCCCTTTCATTTGATGTACTGCACGTTGAAATTCAACTATCATTAACAAAGATTTGGCTTAGTACCTATATGACATGTTGCGCCATGTTCGATTTTTCTTCGTCGATGAATTCTGCATTTCTTATCCTTTCATTCGACGTGCTGTACGCGACGATCCGATCATTAGAATATTCAACTTAGAGCCCTTCTGAGAGTTGTGCTATCATTTCTTGTAATAACTCATTAATTTCCACAAATTATCACAAACGCCACCACCTCCCATGCTGACTACGACACTTTGAAGGTTTAAATGTTTTATCACTATTATTATTATTATTCGACCCACATTCTCCTGTTCAATTTCATCTAGCACAATCAATCGAGCGATATTTGATTTCTCCATTCTGATCAGCTGGCCGACACTACTCTGTAACAGAAGTTGGGTTGAGTGTTCCACAAGGTTCCGTTCAAGAGTCTAAAAATTCGTAAAATGAATCTTCATATGACAAAGCATGGACTTTAGTCATTTCCTGATGATGCTTACTTGGTTAGCGGAACGCGTTAAATGATAAATGACTGTGATATTGAAACACAAAAAACCGTTACGAAAATAACGATGAAACGAGAACGAATAAACGCACGGAAAACGGTCAGAAACGCACGAAAAACGATCGAAAACGCACGAAAAACGATGGCACGCAAAACGGTGGCACGCAAAACAGTCAAAACGTTTGTGAAACGGTCGCTTACCCCATTTTCGAATGTTAACTCTACGTAACTCCTCGACACCTTTGGTGCATTTCCTTCTTCTCCTGATGATGCTAACTTGGTTAACAAAGATGCGAGACTTCCGACATGTTGGAACGCTAGACTTCTGTTGAATCGACATGTTTTTTTCTTAAATGATGTATTTTGAAACGCCCTGTATACACATCAATATCATATTTTAAACCGACATGTTTTTTTTCCTCAAACCATATATTTTGACGCACCCTGTACACTTCGACGTCATATTTGTTTTTCAATGATGTATTTTGAGATACCTTGTAACATTGAGCCTCATTAATCTGTAATGTTTTTTTATTAAATCTGATTCAATATTATTAATATATCACTTTCGCGCTTCCAATTTTCATCGAGTCGTTCACGATTAATTTCAAAACCGGCAACATCTGCTTGCACTAGCAACCGGTAAATCTCGATATCATCACCATCTCTCTTTGCATCGATTACGTCACACGCGTCTCTCGCTCTTACAGAGACATACACATCTTTACATGAAATACTAATTGTTTCCCAGATCTGAGTATATTTTTCTATCTTCAACAAGATAATGACGATTACATTCTACGGAAATGAAAAAAATGCTGTCAAGTATAATGAATGAGTCAATTTCAGTCCCGACAAAACTAACGCTGTAAATACCCAACATTCGCAGTTACCTTCAATATCTTACGTTGGTGTAGAGGCTAAGGACAATTTCTACCGCGCGGACGTCGTGGGTTCGAATCTCATAACTGTAAACTTTTTTTAATTAAAATCACGTGACAAGGGGGCCTGAGCGCTGATGCGAAATCCCTATCTATTTTCAAATGATATAGAAAAAAAGTTATTGAACGTCACTTTCATCTCAAATACATTTTAAAAACAAATATTGATTACCATTCTCCTGGTGAGTTTCTTTTTCACGTGTCAGCATCTGGATTTGTTCCTTATAAAATTCCAATTGAAGAAGAGGTTTTTCAACTAAAATAGAAATTGAAAATCAAATTCAACCAAATTTCAATACTTTGTAATCGCTAGAAACAGCAATTTCCATTGAAAATAAGTATAGAGTATCATTACCTGCTTTTTTTTCTTCTTCAAGTTTCTTTATAACACCTTCCAAAGTTTCCATTTCAGATTGATATAGAGATACATTTAATCTTTCATTCATTACCATTTCATCTGAAATAAAAAATAATCAATCATTGATGAAGAGAACATTTTATTTTAATACTCTCACTCTTTTCTTCTTCGATAGTTTTCATGACATTTTTCAGTGTTTCTCTAAGAATTTTTATGGTATCTTTCAATATTTCCATTTTCATTTCCTTCCCTTCTTTGAGGTTTTTCGTACTATTTTTCAGTGCTTCCATGTCCTTTGCTACTTCTTTAAGGTTTTCTGTGAATTTTTTAGCGTTTTCGATTTCCATACTATTTTCTTCTTCAAGAGTTTTTATAGTTTGTTTCAATTTTTCGATTTCCTTTTCTTGAAACGTTATCTTGAAATCTTTCGATTTATCTAAGGAAAAATGTAAAGTACAATAGAGAAAAATAGTAGGTAGAGAATGCTGTACCATTCACCGATAGTAAGAATATTTCATTAAAAAAAACCTTTCAGTTTTCCATAGTAGATCATCTGCAAGGACTGAGTGCCTCTTTTCAAAGGTACCCAGAAAGGGGCTGATGAAGAGTTGAAAATAGCCTTTTAGCCCGAAATTTCGAAGTACACCCAGAAATCGAAAGTTTCCTATGTAAATCAAATTTCATATCAATACTCTTTCATATTCTTTTCTGAAAATGACATTTGTATCAATTCTATTTCTTTCCATTTGTATCTATGTATGATCTATACATTTTTTTCTGCCTTTTATCGCAGGTTTTTCATGTGATGATGAAGAAGTAGAAAGCCAAGTTCCTTCTGAATACCTAATTTCTCTTAAGAAATATCCCATTTCCAATTAAAAAAATGCATATATATTTA